GGGGGGGACGACGGGACTTTCCCTGGCAATTCCGCAGAATTCATGTCGTTTGGGCAGCGCTGGGGCGGCAGCTCCTCGTTCGCGCGGTTGGGTTTGTATTTCGGGGTTTTATGTCACGGAGAGGGTGCTGTGTTTGAAGAGAAGTCAAATAAGCACGTCCCGGCTTTTTTCTTTTTTTTCTTTTTTTTTTTTTGGTTTTTAAATTCAGCTTTCCTAGCTGGGTTTCGCAGGCGTTTTTGCTTTTAGCGTGTGCTTTCCTTCTTCGGCGGGCGATCGTTTCCTAATTCTTGAAATCAGGAGAGGCAAAACACCAGACTTCTGCTGCTGCTTGCTCTTAGGTTTTCTTCTCCTATGGCTTTAATAGGTAAAGGAATACTGCCTTCCTTATTTCCCAGGCTCTTGTTTGCTGTTTTCCGTGGTAGGCATGTGGTTTTTTTTCACCTCCCTCCTTGTTTCTTCCTGCACAGCCTCTTTCTTCCACTGACTTGATACTTTTTCCATCTTCTACTTTTTTTTTTTTTCTTTTTGGTAGCCTCCCCTTTCTCCCCCTTTCTCTTTCCTGTTATTTCTCCCCTAGCAACCTTCCACTCTGGCACTGCTGGCGCTCGCTCAGTCGCTTTCCAGTCCTCCTTTTTTGATCAATCTGATATGGCTGGCTGAGTGGACAATTGCAGAGCCACTCCGTTGCCCAGATTTATACCCGAGTGAAAATAAAAGGCATCGATCCAGGGGCGCTTGCGTCGCTTCCCCGCGCCGACTCCCAAGGCCGCCTCGGAGGAAGGCTCCTGGTTGCCTTTTGGTCCAAAAAAAAAAAAGCCTCTGTTCCTTGCAGCGTGTAAAAAGGAAATCCATTTATTAAAATAACGGGGTTGGAGCGACCCTTCGTGTTTTAAGGGGCTTGGGGGCCGCTGCGGCCAGTGTCTGCTCTCGAGTGGCTCTTTCTGCTTGGCGCTCGCTGCAGCAGTGAGTCAGGCTGGGCAGGTGGGCTTTGCTCTTGAAGTATTGAGGGCCCAGTCGAATTGGGGGCTAAAACCCTGGTTTTCGGCAGCCTTTGGCTCCGGCCCTCCCCCCCTCCCTTGGC